GTGGGGGATGGGTGTGGGGGATGGTGTGGGGGATGGGTGGGGGATGGGTGTGGGGGATGGGTGTGGGGGATGGGTGTGGGGGATGGGTGTGGGGGATGGGTGTGGGGGATGGGTGTGTGGAGGATGGGTGTGGAGGATGGGTGTGTGGAGGATGGGTGTGGAGGATGGGTGTGTGGAGGATGGGTGTGGAGGATGGGTGTGTGGAGGATGAGGGAGGAGTGCTAGCAGGGGGGAGGGAGATGGAAAGAGAGACAGACGAGTGGGGTGCATTACAGGTTGGCAACACGGATGGGGAGGAGCATAGCCTCAGCTGGAACTGCAGGGAGGTGCGAGAGAGGGCTTTTTGTGTGGGGTGGGGAGGGGGGGAGGAGAGGAGGAAAGAGGGGTTGGGAGAGTGGGGGATGGGTGGAGCGCAAGTTCGGAGGAGGGAGATCGAACGAGGGGCTTATGCTCTCATCATCTCCTCATGTGCTGGTTTGCTGTGGTGCCTCCCTTGCATGTGCGTTTGTGTGCGTGTGCGTGTGTGTGTGCAACAGGAAGGGGTACCAGCCAGTGTGACAGTGGAGAGGCTGAGGCAAAGACAGATCCGTAACTTCATCCTCGCACTCTTCGTCTCTCAGGTATGCGGCCGTGCTGTCATGCATTCCATTGTACCCGGGATTCTTCCTTCCATTCCACCATCACATTACGCTCACTCCTCGGTCGAGTAAATCATCCTCTCTCACTGATACTCACGGAGCCTTCCTCTTCTCTAAATAAAGCCCTCTTACCCCACCACTATACCCTCCTCCCCTCCCTTACCCCGCTACCCTGCTACTCTCTTCACCAACCTCCTCTCACACTCCCTTTCCCTCCGTTCCTTTCCCCCTTCTCTCCCTTCCCCATCCATCTCTCTCACTGCCCTGCCCTGTGGCGATTTGCGTGTGTGTGTGCTGCATGTCAGGGAGTGCCAATGGTACATATGGGGGATGAGTACGCACACACCAAGGATGGCAACAACAACACCTACTGCCACGACTCGCAGGTGGGTGCATGCATGTGTGCGTGCATGCATATGTGTGTGTATGGCACGCGGCAGGTAGTGCCGATGGTACATATGGGGGATGAGTACGCACACACTAAGGATGGCAACAACAACACCTACTGCCATGACTCGCAGGTGGGTGCATGCATGTGTGTGTAGGGCACGCGGCAGGTAGTGCCAATGGTTCATATGGGGGATGAGTACGCACACACCAAGGATGGCAACAACAACACCTACTGCCACGACTCGCAGGTGCGCCGCGCCCCCCCATCCCTTCCTCCATCTCTCACCGTTCCGTTCCAGCACCCGCCAGCCTTCATCTTCGCCAGCAGTGTAACCGTGTAACGTCTTGTCTTCATCTTTCTTGCCAAGCTCAGCTCACTGAGACACCCCCTTTCCCCCTTGTCTCTCCCTGCTGCAGATGAACTACTTCAACTGGGAGAGAGCGGAGCAGGATTCCTCTGGTGTTCTGCGCTTCTTCCGTGCCATTGCTGCTCTCAGAAAGTAAGGCGCTGCTGCTGTTACTGCTGCTGTTACTGCTGCTGTTACTGCTGCTGTTACTGCTGCTGTTACTGCTGCTGTTACTGCTGCTGTTACTGCTGCTGTTACTGCTGCTGTTACTGCTGCTGTTACTGCTGCTGTTACTGCTGCTGTTACTGCTGCTGTTACTGCTGCTGTTACTGTTGCTGTTACTGCTGCTGTTACTGCTGCTGTTGCTTCTGCTGTTGCTTCTGCTGTTGCTGCTGCTGTTGCTGCTGCTGTTGTTGCTGCTGTTGCTGCTGCATCACTTCCATCACACACTTTCCATTCCTTCTCGCCCCTTACCGTCCCATCCCTTTCTCGTCCCCCCCTTACCCACTCACCCCCCTTATAAGTTCCCCAATCCCCCCCTCCTATTCTGTTCAGCTCGATTTCTTGCATCCTCCTTCCCCTACTTATTCCTCTCTGCATCCCTTCCTCCCCCGATCCTCCAATCCCCCCTCTCCTCATCTCCCACCTCACCTCCCTGTCCCCAGTGCCCGTCATCACGCCCCTCCCCCAGGGAGTTCAAGTGTTTCCGGTTGGATGATTTCCCCACGGCACATCACCTGCAGCTATGCAGACTAATACAGAAACCAGACTGCAGTCTTGAAGAAACTAGAACAAAAATCAGTCAGTTGAGTCTGTCTTTTTGCACCCCGTCCCGTCATGCCCCTCCCCCAGGGAGTTCAAGTGTTTCCGGTTGGATGATTTCCCCACGGCACACCACCTGCAGTGGCACGGCCTGACCCCTGGCAGCCCTGATTGGTCCGACACCTCGCGATTCATCGCCTTCACCATCGTACGTACCATGCCATGCCATGTCATTCTGTTTTCCCACTCCTTGCTACCTGCCCCCTCCCCATCTTCTGTTTTCCCCCTCCGGAACATGAGTTCTCTGTTCCTCTCAACCCTCTCCTCTCTCCCTCCTCGCAACCCTCCTCCTCTGCACCTCCCCTCTCACTCCCCCACCTCAACCCACGCCACCCCCCTTCCCCTCCCTTCTCTCCCGACCTGCATGATAGTGACAGCACGGAAGCATACGTGGCATTCAACACGTCCCTCTCTCCTTCTCTACGTACCCAGCCCGCTCCACACCCCCTCTCTTTTTCCCCCTCCCTCTCCTCTCCTCCGCTCCCGACCAGCGTGACGACGACGGCACAGACTGAACCACCTACGTGGCGTTCAACACATCCCTTCCCCGCTCCTTGCGTACCCTGCTCCACAGCCCCTCTCCCGCTCCCCCCTCCCCCCTCCCGCTGTCCCCTTTCTTTTCCCCCGACCAGCGTGACGACGACGGCACAGAGCTACACGTGGTGTTCAACACATCCCTTCCCCGCTCCTTGCGTACCCCGCTCCACAACCCCTCTCCTGCTCCCCCCCCCCTGTCCCCCTCCCTTTCCTTCCCAACCAGCGGGACGATGAGGGCACGGAGCTATACGTGGCCTTCAACACGTCCCTTCTATACCCCTCCTTGCATACCCCGCTACACAACCCCTCTCGCGCTTTCCCCTCCCCCTGTCCCCCTTCCTTTCCCCCCAACCAGCGGGACGACGACGGCACGGAGCTATACGTGGCCTTCAACACGTCCCACCTGCCAGCAGTGGCCACTCTCCCCGACCGCTACGCGCGCACGTGGCAACCGCTCGTGGACACCTGCAAGCCCCCGCCCTACGACGTGCTCTCCCCCGACCTCCCCGCCTCCGACCGTGCTGTAGCCGCGGCTCAGATGGCGCCTCTGCTGATGGCGGGGTTTTATCCTCTGCTGGGGTATTCTGCGATTGTGCTCCAGTCTGTGCCGGAGGTGGTTTGATGAGGGGGAGGATGGTGGAAAGGGGGGAAGCAGTGAGGGGGGAGGGGCGGCCTCTGATCGCGCAGTGGCTGCGGCCCAGATGGCGCCGCTGCTGACGGCGGGGTTTTATGATATATCCTCTGCTGGGGTATTCTGCGATTGTGCTCCAGTCTGTGCCCGAAGTGGTTTGATGAGGTGGGGGAGAGGAGGGGGAGGAGGAGGAAGGAGGGGGAGAGGGGAAGCAGGGGTGGTGGAGGGTGCGGAGCGGTGTTTGGGGAAGGGGAGAAAGGGGATGGAGAGGAGAGGGAGAGGCGAGCAGGTGTCATTGAGCTGAGGAGGTGGAGGAGTGGAGGCAGGATGAGATAACTCTATTATTCTCAATAGCATGCCACATAGGGGCATGCATGTATTGCTATGCCATGGCTTATTGCACGTGCCGCTGCTACACCAGCTGCAGCAACGCAAATGGCTCTTCTCGAACATGTCCCGACATGGTCTCTTCTCTCCATGTGCTTGGCCTGGCCTGGTCAAGCCATCGTATCTCCATATGGTATCTCCACGTGTTGGTTTTTGAGAATTCTCTAAAACATTCCCTGTGGTCTGCTCTGCTCTGCTCTGGGACGCAGTGCCCACTATGCTGCCGCCTCGCCTCTCCTCACCAGCCGTGCCATATAGCACTGCCATGCCACCACTCGCACCAATCTATGCTGCCGCTACCACCGCCGCCGCTGCTGCTGCTGCTCCTGTCACACTATCAGCACACAATCACCTTTACCACCCCATTCTACTCCTCACAACCCCACTTGTCTCCACACCACCTTCGCATGCACATAGACTTCCTCTCGCCAGCATTCATGTACCGGAATACGTCTCAACCATACCTTTATCCTTCCACCTGGCCAACCCCCCTCCTCATGTCTCCATGCCCCCCATCCATTCACTCATTCCTTCATCCACCATCCCCCACAATGCGATGCCTAGTGTGGTCTCTGAAGTCTAGTCTAGTCACCCTCTGGTCGATTCTATAACTCTCCTCTTTGGCTGCATAGAATGAAATGTTTGATGTGCGATGGGTGTGGTGGACAATGGACATTGCATGCATGTGCATCGCATCTGTTGGTAACTTGGTGCTGTGCTTTTGTTGGGCTACTTGGTACCTTATGTTCCAACCAGCCTACTATATTGACAGTGCATATTCGCCTGCTATTATTAACTGTACAAATGGCTTGAAACCTCTTATCTCGCATGTGGAGTGTAGCATGTGATGTCAATGTCTAGAAAATAGTAGTATATTACCGGTACTACTAGAGTGCGCAAGTACGGTACTTACTACTGGCATCACAACTGGGAACTCAACTCACCCTAAGTACAATTGCTCAACTCAATCCATAACCCACACAAACGTTAAAACTAATATAGCCCATCCACCACCCACTGCCAGAAGCACTAGGACATCACCACCTGATTATCGGATGGTGAGCAGAGGACACAATTGTCACACCAGCATGCACGGTACAGCAACAGTAGCAGAGGAGCCACACCAGGAGCGGAGCACCAACAGCAGCGAGGGAACCCCCAATCGCAAAGAAGCATCAACAGGCACACAAGCAGCACGGGTGGTGGTACATGCAAACAGAACACGAGCCAGCGAAACAAACAGTTGCGTCAAGATGAGGAGAAACTCAAGTATGGTTTGTGCAAACCAAACAGGCCAACAAGAGAGCTCGCAGAGGGGATGGTGGTGGGCCTGGAGAGAGAGGTAGCAGCAGATGGGAAGGCTACGGCGGCAGACGGGGCACGAGCAGCCACAGGAGGGGGTCTGGAAGAGGGTAGAACAGGGGGTGTGGAGGAGTCCGGAGTGGTGTAGAGGCGGGAAGAAGCAGCTGGGAATGGGCCAGTGGAACCAGGGGTGGGGAGAGGGGAGGGGGAAGAGGCGAGAGAGGAAGGTGCAGCGGGGAAAGGAGCAGGGGCATGGTTGAAGGAGGTCAAGCGGAGGGGAGCACTGGTGGGGATGCTTTGTTGGTGCTGGCGGGGGAGGGAGAGGAGGGTTGGGTGTAGGGATGGAGCGGAGAGAAGAGGCGGAGAGCTGGGTGGTGATGGGGACAATTCAATGACTGTTCGCTGCATGGGTGGGCGTGGGAGCAGGACAGGCAAGCGTGCGGCACGGGGTGCGTTTGGAGAAACAGCAGCAGCAGCAGCAGCAGCAGTGGAGGATGGAGGTGGTGTGGGGGAGAGGACCGGGGAGCGAAGAGCACCAGCAGCAGCTGAGGGTGCGGATGAGGAGGAAGAGATACCAGCACGAGCAGCAGTAGGAGCAGTAGCAGGTGCGGCGGTGCGAGAGGGGAGAATGAGGCGAGAAGGAGCAGATGCCTGCCCCAGCCAAGGTCCCTGTGCTCTGCCAGAGAGAGGGCCTGCAGCACGGGCTGATGCAAGGGCTGCAGAAGGAAGGGCAGATTGAAGGGTCGGGGGAAGCGAAGAGGGAAGGGCCGAGGGGGGAAGAGCAGCAGACGAAACCGCTGACACTGGAGTGGCAGAGGGGTGCTGGGGTGGTGGGGGAGAGGGCGTGAGAGGGGGAGCTGGTGACGGTTCACCTGCTCCCATGGGGCATGGCTTGGGAGATGGAGGCGTGGAAGGGGAGGGAGAGGGCACGGATCCAGGCTGAGAGGAAGAGAGGTGGCTTGGGGCAGTTGCCTTGACTGTGGCTCCTCCTCCTGCTGCTGCTGCTGCTGGTGCAGTGTCAGACTCGGTCCCTTGTTGTACAGTCACTGTTGCAGCAGATGCAGAGGCAGGAGCAAGAGCAGGAGAGGAAGCAGGACTGAGAGCAGGAGCGGAAGCGGAAGCGGGACCTGCTGCTGCCCCCCTGCTACTCTCAGCTCCTGCTGTTCCTCCTGTCACCGCTGCTCCAACCACTCCTCTCACATCTGCACCTGCTGCCGCCACTGCTACTGCCACTACTGCTGCCATCACTGCTGCTGCTGCATCCACCCCCCCAGGCTCCCCACCAGCCATCCCTGCTGTTAACGCCAGTGCCCTCGCACCTGCTCCTCCCACCACAGCAGCAGCCCCATCACTGACACCAGCACAACCAGCACCACCACCAGCACCACCACCAGCAGCAGCAGCAGCACCACCAGCAGCAGCAGCACCGGCTCCCTCAGCAGGAGCTGTCCCACCTGTCAGCATCTTCCTTTTCCTCCCTCTACGCCACGTGACCAACTGGGTCTTCAACTGCGGTTGCCCTGCATCCCTCACCATCTTAAACCGGTACACATACCACCCCTGCTTCCCCACCACATGTGCAAAGTCATGCACATGATACAGCCCATCATACACATACATCTTCCGCCCCAGCCCGTCCACCTGCCCGCGCACCACCCGCACGGGCAGCTGCAAAAAATAACTATTCGCAAGCCCCAGATTCCCCCGCACCAGCTTCTGATTCCCAGACCCCTGCCCCGTATACCAAAACTCTTCCCCTTCATCCTCATCATCCTCATACCCCCCAGACATGACAATACACGTCGTCACATGCTCTTTAAACGGGCAGCGGGAGGCCGGGATAAAGTCGATCCCGCTCATGTGCTTTGTGTGCATGCCCACCACTGCGAGGTGCAGGCGAGAGGGGAAGGTGGAGCCTAGTGGCACACCCCGCACATGGCCTATGATGTCCCGGGGGAGTAACTGGCTGTTCTGGCTCATGAGAGTGTATGCATCCATTGTTGCCGACTGTCTCTTGTGCCTGGCTGGTGTGCCTGCTGCTGCTGCTGCTGCTGCTGCTGCTGCTGCTGCTGCTGCTGCTGCTGCTGCTGCTGCTGCTGCGGGGGATGCAGTGGATGGGTTTTGGGTGGAGGGAGGGGAAGAACCCGGAGCAGAACCAGCAGCCGCGGCGACATCTCCAGCGGCATTGGGAGCAGCAGAAGAACCCTCAATGGCAGCACGAACACTGGCGAAACCAGAGGCACCTGCACCAGCAGCAGCAGCAGCCGCAGCAGAAACAGCAGCAGCAGCAGCAGCAACAGCATCAGAACCAACCCCAGCAGCCGCATACAGAGGCAACATCTGCTGTGCCTCCTCCATCTGCCTCTTGCACCGCTCTAACCCCTCCCTGTAACCCCCAAACGTCTTCAACGCTGCCTGTACCTTTCTCTCTGCCTCTGCCTCCTCCTGTTCCGCACCCACCTGGCTGGACGGCAGCTGCAGCTCCAGCCCTTGCCTCACGAGGTTCTCCCTCTCTCCTTGCTTCTTCGCCACCCAGTCCTGTAGGAGAGGGTCGGGAGCGGGTAGGTTCGGCGGGGGTTCTGAGTGCAGGGCTAGCTGCCATGCGGGTGCTTGCTGCTGCTGCTGCTGCTGCTGCTGCTGCTGCTGCTGCTGCTGCTCGTTCATTAGCAACTGCTGCTGCAGCAGCTGCTGATGATAATAGTGCTGCCGCTGCGCATTCTCCTGCTCCTGCTGCTGCTGCTGTTCCAGCTGCAGTCGCAGCGGCTGCTGCCCTCGAAAGGGCTGCTGAGCGTCCTGCCTCATCCCCTCCTCCTCTTCCAACACATCTTCCACCTCAACTCGCCACTGCTGCTGCACCGCCTGCTGTGCTGCTGCCGCCGCCGCCCCCACCTGAGCCTCCTGCAGCAACCGATGCTCCCGCACACCCGCCTCTCGGGGTCCTACCGCCTGCTCTCGCCCCCGCCCTTGCCCCTGCCCCTGACCCTGCCCCTGAACCTCACCCCGTCCCTCTCGCCCTGACTCAAGAGCACGTCGCTGTGCTTCCTCCCGCGGCTGCTGCTGCTGCGGCGGCGGCGGCGGCAGCATCAGCAACTTTTGCTCTCCCCTCTCCTCCCTCCTCTCCCTTTCCTCCCTCTCGCTCCGCTCCCTTCCCTGCAGCAGCAGCAGCATGTTCTGCTGTTGCTGCTGCTGTTGCTGCTGCTGCTGCTGCTGCTGCTTCTCCCGCCACACCACCTCAGCCTGCTCCCCATCCACGTCCTTGCTTTCGAACAGCATGTGCTGCCTCCGCAGCATTCGCACCCGCGCCTCCCAATCCCCCCACGGCAGTGCCAGCGCTGCTCCCCCTGCTGCCGCTGCACCTTCTGCTGCCCCTGCTCCACCTGCTCCCCCTGCTGTCCCTGCTCCTGCAGACACTTCGTTATAGCCGCCTCCACGTGAACCCCCCGGCAACTGTAACAGCTGTACCGGCGGCACCTTCATAGACTGCATTGACTGCATAGACTGCAATGCTTCCCAGGGCAATGCTAGCAACGGCTCATCAGCAACACCACCACGCTGCTGCCTTGCATTCCTCTCCAAGACGCTCCTAGGCACGCCCTCTATCCCCAAACCACCACACGCCGTATCATCTTCGGCCTTTACTCCTTTACCTACCCCCACGTCCCTACGGCTACCCCCCTCCAACCCCCCTCCTCTCATGTCGCCTTCTCCAGAGGCTGCCTCTCCCTCTCCCTCTCTCTCTCCCTCTGGCTCTGCCTCTGCTGGCATTGCTGGCGGCACCCAAATGGCTATGGCCTGTGACCGCTCTGGTACAGCAGCAGGAGTAGGATCGGGAGGAGCAGCAGCAGCAGCAGAAGCAGCAGCAGCAGCAGAAGCGGTAGCTGTAGCGGAATCTGTAGGGGCAGGAACGGCATTCGCCTTACTTGTACCACTATCTTCTGCTGTCGCCATGGCAGAACCTCCGGCCGTTAATCCCTGGCCAGCAGAAGCAGCGGCAGGAGCCACAGGGCCCGAACTTGCTGGTGCTGCTGCTGCTGCAGCTGGTGATGCTGCTGGTGCAGCTGGCGTTGGTGCTGCTGCTGCTGGCGTTGGTGCTGCTGCTGCTTCTGGCGTTGGTGCTGCTGCTGCTGGCGCTGGTGCAGCTGCCGGTACCGATTTCAATGCCGGCACAGCAGGCAGGCCTTCCCCCTCCCCACCACACTCTCCTGCATCCAGTGCACACTGCTCCTGCTTCACCACAGGCTGCAGCATCAGGCGTGCAGACGGCACCAACACTCCCTCCAACCCACTCCCCGCCTCCTGCCCTGCACGCACCACTCCGCACGCCTCCTCCTCCTCCCCCTCCTCCTCCTCTTCCTCATCTTCCCCCTCCTCCCAACTCCCTGCGCCTTCCTCCTCATCCTCCTCCCCCTCCTCCCTTTCCTCCTCGCTATCCTCACCCTCATCCTCACTCGCTGCCTCTGGTTTCACGAGCAGCATTGGCGCTGTTACTTGGCTCTCTCTCCCTGCCTCCTCCCCCACATTCTGTGCATCGTGGTGGGACTCGGTGCGTGCGCCTGCCTGCTGCAGCACGTCCCTCAGTCTCGTACCTTCTGAGCCTGAAACTGCACTGCCACGACTGCCCACGGCAAAATCAACCCCCTCAGCAATATCCCTGCCACGACCAGCACCACCAGTACCGGCAGCACCACCAGTACCGGCAGCACCACCAGTACTGGCAGCACCACCAGTACCGGCAGCACCACCAGTACCGGCAGCACCACCAGTACCGGCAGCACCACCAGTACCGGCAGCACCACCAGTACTGGCAGCAGCACCAGCACTGGCAGCAGCACCAGCACTGGCAGCAGCACCAGTACCTGCATCTGGCTCTGCGTGTGATTCTGGATTGAGGCCAGGGCCTGTGACTGCGGCAGAGGACGGCGCAGAGGCAGGGGCAGAGGCAGAGGCAGGGGCAGGCGCAGGGGCAGGCGCAGGGGCAGGCGCAGGGGCAGGCGCAGGGGCAGCCGCAGGGACAGCGGCACGGGCAGCAAAGGGTGCAGACGCAGGGGCAGGGGGACGGGCACGGGCAGAGGCAGAGGCAGGGGCAGGGGCAGAGGCAGGGGCAGCAGAGGCAGAGGCAGGGGCAGAAGCAGGGGCAGAGGCAGAAGCAGGGGCGGAGGCAGAAGCAGGGGCAGAAGCAGGGGCAGAGGCAGGGGCAGAGGCAGAAGCAGGGGCAGAAGCAGGGGCAGAGGCAGGAGCAGTCACAGGGGCAGCGGCACGGGCAGCAGAGGGTGCAGACGCAGGGGCAGGGGGGCGGGCACGGGCAGAGGCAGAGGCAGGGGCAGGGGCAGAGGAAGGGGCAGAGCCAGGGGCAGAGGCAGAGGCAGGGGCAGACGCAGAGGCAGGGGCAGAGGCAGAGGGAGGGGAAGAGACACGGGCAGAGGCAGAGGCAGAGGCAGGGGCAGAGGCAGCGGCAGGGGCAGAGGCAACGGCAGGGGCAGAGGCAGAAGCAACGGAGGTACGGGCAGCGGCAGGTGCAGAGGCAGGTGCAGAGGCAGGGGCAGCCGCAGGGGCAGCGGCAGCGGCACGGGCAGAGGCAGGGGCAGGGGGACGGGCAGATGCAGAGGCAGGGGCAGGGGCAGAGGCAGGGGCAGCGGCAGGAGAAGACGCAGACGCAAGCCCAACAGCATCTGGACCCACAGTAGCAGCATGTCCGTCCCCATGCCTGTCCTTCACTGCGTTACCACCATCGCTCCTGTCTACACCTGCTGCCATAACACCAGGAGCGGACTTTTGAGGCGCTTTAGGAGTTGTCAGAGCAGCAGGAGCGGATTCCTGAGTCACTTTAGAGGTTGTCACACCACCAGGAGCGGACCTTTGAGGCACTTTCGAAGTTGCCACAGCAGCAGGAGCGAATTTCTGAGGCACTTTAGAGGTTGCCACAGCACCAGGAGCGGACTTTTGAGGCGCTTTAGAAGTTGCCAGAGAAGCAGGAGCGGATTTCTGAGGCACTTTAGGAATTGCCAGAGCAGCAGGAGCGGATTTCTGAGGCACTTTAGAGGTTGCCACAGCACCAGGAGCAGACTTCTGAGGCACTTTCGAAGTTGCCAGAGCAGCAGGAGGGGATTCCTGAGTCACTTTAATAGTTGCCAGAGCAGCAGGAGCGGACTTCTGAGGCACTTTAGAAGTTGCGACCACACCAGGAGCCAGCAGCAAGCCCCCACTCTCACCACCTCGCCCCACAACCGCGGCACCGGCCTCTGATGCCCCCGCTTTTCGCCCATTACTTTGGCCAATGCATGCTCCCAATTTCGCCTCCTGTGGCGTTCCTCCACTCAACTCCTTCGCTCCCCTCTCCGCCCTCCCCTCACTCTCTTTCCTTCTCTTGACGTTCTCACCTGTTGGTCCCCCGCCCTCACTCCCCCTGCCATCTATCTCCCTGCGCTTCTCCTCATCCAAGTCCTTTTCTTCTCTCCTCCTCTTCCCATCCTTAGTCTCACGCTCCCCTGCCTCTTCCGCACGCTTCCCTACGCCTTCGCTCGCCAACCCGCCTCTTCCCCGCTTTTCCTGAATCTCACGCTCCGCGTCCCCCGTCTCTAACCTCTCATCCTTCACATGTGCGCCGACCAATGCTTCTTCATTCGCTCCCTCCCTTACCGCCATCTCCCTTGCCCTTGCGGGGCCCACAGCGGTAGTACGTGCATCATCTTTTCCCCTCTCTCTCACTGCGTCCTCCTTCCCTCCCTTTCTTACTGCGTCCTTCCTCCCGCCACGGTCTCCTTCTCTCCCTGCATCACCCAAGGAACCAGCCTCGCCTTTCGCCTCTGCTTCTCGCCCCTTCCCCTCCTTCTCTCCTTCCCCTTCCACATCATCATCCTCCTCCTCCCCCTCCCTCAACCCCTCGTCCTCCCCCTCCCTTACACGTACTCCTTCATCATCAACCCCTCCAACCCCTTCCCCCTCTTCCTCCTCCTCCTCGCCATCCTCCTCCTCCTCCTCCTCATCGTCATCATCATAATCGTCCCCAACCACCTCGCCCTCTTCCAGCTCATCATCTAACCCCGCCTCCTCCATCGCTCCTCTCCTCTCGTCGCCATGCGGCACACCATCAGGCGACAAAGCCTCTCCGCCGCCTCTCGCCGAACCCCCAGGCACCTCCCAGGCCCCCTCCCTCTCCTCCGCTTCCTCATCCTCCACCTTCACCCCACCTACCGCTCCCAGCCACGAATCTTCCTCCTCCCCACCATGACCTGCTCCTTCCGCTTCCTCTCGTCTCCTCCTCTCCTCCCTTCCCTCGCGGTTCCTCTCATTCGAATCAACCCGCCGTTTCCGCTTGACGCCACGGTCGCGTCGCGAAGTTCGCATATCCCGATCGCGACGCCCGTTGCCACCGTGGCACCGTGAACGAATCACCGGTCTGCCATTCCGACCAGCGAGATGTCTGCAAGGAACCACTCGGCTGTGGTACCAACAACTTTGGTGGCAGCGATGGTGGTTGCAACGCTGGTGGTGGTTGCAACGCTGGTTGCGATTCTGGTTGCGACGCACGAGCCTTGGCGATCCACTACCCGCTCCTCGCGTCGCTGCTTCCGCTTCCGTCGCCATTTCCGTCCGAGTCTCTCGCATATTCTCCCTTCTCATCTCCCTGTCATCTCCACCACCGTCCGCGTCCTCGTGTCCTTCCGTCTTGACTTGCACGCGCGAGACTCCTCGAACCCTCCCACGCGGTTCACTACCATTAGCTTGGAAGGAACTATTGCCTCCATGGTTGCGTGTCGTCCCCGCAATCTCCCCAATGTCCGGCTTGAGGTCTCTGGGAGGTAAACGTGGCCTGTTGTTTCGGGCTCCACCTAGTGTGCGAGCATTTTGTCGCACGCGCACGTCGTCTTTGTCGTCCTCGTCGTCAGAGGACAGCACGATGACTTCGGGCTGCGACCGCGGTGGGTTCCCGGCCATGCTGCTCGCGTTGCTGCTTCGTTACAAGCTAAGCTACGGTGAAAGAGTAGGTTCCAAAGTCGGTTCTTTAGCAAGGAACCAACGCAACATAGCACATGAATCATGCGCAACGAGCAGCGAAAAACGTGCTGTTCCTATATGACTACCTCGGAATGCCAAAGAGCATACTGTAATCCACAATATAGGACGAGCAAAACTAAGGAACCCCGAGGAGCAGTTGGAGTACTCCAGCCAAACCAAAGAAGCTGCTTCAAACCTTGAAACAAGCCCGCACGAGAACTAGGGTGTATTTTCCAGCTTCAGGACTAGAACTTGTTTTCGCTTGCAGGTTCTGGACTGTTCCACCTAGTGGTCTTGTGCACAACGGCACCTCGAGTTCGACTGTTTGAAACAAGAACGACACGAAGCAACCCCTGATTGAAGCCCTACGAACAGTTTCAGCGCTCCCTCCAAAAGAGAGTGTGCTCTTATGCGTTCGGTTGCCGAGGCAGCCTGTGACGCGGGAGGAGGTAGCCTCGGCTCCGCACCGCACCTCTTAGGTATGTCGACGAAGAGGCAGGGGCGTCGAGGATCTTCCCGCCAAAGCCTGGCACAGCTGGTTCGGGACACCCGATGTGGCGTCACCCTGAAGGCATGCCATCCTTCCAGAGCAGTACACTCGCCAGCTTGGCGGATTACGCAAATGAGATGAGATTATCCAGCAAAAATTCTCACATCCAATAGGAAGTTAATGAGATCTCAGCAGCCACTCACGTGCTAGCAAAATTTTGCTAGCCAATGGACAAACGGATCAACTTTGCATGTATGGAAAGTTGGATGTCCATGCAGAGATTTACCACTCTACCAGAAGAGCTACAAAAAGTGCTCCTGACAAACAGGAGCACTTCTACCAAGAGAGCTCTTCGTAGAACCACCTTGTTCTACCAAGAGAACTCTTGGTAGAGCCACCCTTCTTCTGCATAGAACCAGTCTAGGTAGATGTTTCACTAAGGAGAAAACGGTTACGGTATTAGATCGAGGGCATATATCTGCACACTCCAAACTCTACTAGAAATCTTGACATAAAGAGAACGCGGGTTAGTTTGTTCAAAACTCATATCCCATTTTTGCTCAAATATGAAATACCTTTTCACATCACTGGCAGCACGCTTCGCCACTGACTATCCATTGTATTGCACTTATGTCGAGGATATCAACAAGTCCACAACCAACACTACACTATGCATCCCAAAACATCCCCCATCCTCCGATCATACCGCAAAAGGGGGGCATTGCAAGCAACCCCTTTCCCACCCCCCAACCAACTAACCTTGCATGTTACAAGTTATTCCTTGCCTCCACGACCTCTTGACTCAACCGGGCAACCTTTTTCAGAATCACCTCCTTGTGATCCTCTACAAGCCTTGACCCGCAGAAAGCCACAAACTTATCAGCATGCCAGAAGAGCAGCGCATCCTTGAACTTCCTCTTCTTGAGCCCAGGCTCGTCGGTGGGCGAGAGGAAGAGGCAGTTGCCCTCGGGCGGCCAGGGGATGTCCCAGAAGTGCAGAGGCACGTTGGCACTGCCGGCTGAGTTCTTGATTTGTCTCAGCCGGTTCTCGTATTGCTCGTAGGTCATGGGCGTGGCTGGACAGGCATGGGCACACATGCATTCAAACATCAGCAGAACACACAAGGTTGTGATTTCATGCTCATGCTTGCGAAAAAAATCGAATGCAAACTTGAATGAGGGGGTGGAACCACGCAGGTGTGGCTCAAACAGGGATGGAAGGAAGGAGGGTCAGGAAATAGTAAGGGAGCTTGCACACACACCACACAACATCATGTGCCACACACAGATAACGAGCATTGGCAGTACCTACTGGCCTGCGTTCCACGCCTCACTAATTTAAAACGGGCGTACGCTACTCACCCGTCCCTCCCTCACTCTCCCTCACCTGCTTGCCCCATGTGGTCTCCTCGCCCTCACCTCCCTCTCGCGTTTCTCTTCCGGCTTCTCTCCTCTCACCCTCACCTGCCTCCCTCCCTTCCCCTCTCTCCCGCCACCACCCCCCTCACCCTCACCTGCTTGTCGCATGCGGTATTGATCCTCCAGCCACTTCTGCTTCGCAGCTAGTGCACTCTCCTCCGCCATGGCCTTCCGCCGCACCTCCTCCTGCGCCCTCCTCGCCTTCTCCGCCTCCTCCATCCGCTTCCGCTCCTCCTCCCGCTTCCTCATCTCCTCCGCCTGCGCACGCTTCCTCTCCTCCTCCTCCCTCATCCTCTCCGCGTTCATCGCCTCCTCCCGCTTCTGCCTGGCGCTCTCCGCCTTGCCCCGTCTCGCCTCCTCCGCCTTCCGCCGCCGCTCCTCCTCCGTGCGCTTCTTCCGCAGCTCCCCCTCCGCGCGCCGAATTTCCGCCGCCGCCGCCGCGAACGCCGCGCGCATGCGCGTCTCGCGCTCGCGCAGCAGGGTGCTGTACCGCGAGAGTACCTCCGCGGGGGCATCCTTCGGGGGAGGCGGAGGCGGGGGACCCTGAAAGTGGTGGTTCGGGGGGGAAGGGAGGGGACGGAAGAGAGGGGGGGCATGGGGGAGATGAAAAAGGGGAGGAAGTGTTTCACTTTAGAAGGAGCGGGGAGTGGAGTGGGAGTGAGCGCGTCCTCAGCAGGATGGGCAGCCAAGCGTCTGTTTATCGTGTGATACTCTTGAAGAGCAAAGCCCGAATGGAATCGAAACAAAAGACACAAGAATAATCGACAAAAGGCGAGTCTGAGCCAGCCGTCACAACTCACAAAGCCGTCCTGCTGCTGGTTTTGCCCCTGCTGGTACTGCTGCTGGTAGTGCTGCTGCATGCGTTCCACGTCCGCTTTCATCTTCGCCATCTCCTCCCGGTGCGACATGGCCTCGAACATCCGCTTCCCCTCCTCCTCCTGCAGCTTCCGCCGCAGCTCCTCCGCCTCCTTCGCCTTCTGCTGCTCCCGCGCCCACCGCTGCATGTCCGCCGCGTGCCGCACGCGCTGCTCCTCCTCCCGCTTCACGCGGAATTCCTCTTCCATCGCCCGCCGTATCTCCGCCTCCTTCATCCTCCACGCCGCGTCTCTCGCCGCGCTCTCTTCCCGCGCGCGTCGCGACTCCTCCTCGCGTCGCTTCTCCGCCTCCTTTGCGGCAGCCGCCGCTTTCTCCTTCAGCTTCTCCTGCAGGTCTCGGATGATATCGCCTCGCTCTTTCAGCTCCTTTCCGAGCGACTCGCGTATTCGATCCATGTCGTCTCTGTCTTTCTCCACCTCCTTGAGTTTCTTATGTAATTCTTTCATCGCGCGTTCCTGCTTCTGCCGCGCCTCCCGCTCCTCCTGCGCATCCCCACGCGCGGGTCAACGGGGACGCACGGTCGCGGCGGAATGAGAGGAAGAAGAGCAGGATGCGGAAACGGCGCTTTAGAACAGCGCAATGAGCCCAACTCACGAGATACGGGGATGGGAGGTTCGGGGTGGGAGAAGCAGAAGCAGCATATCACAGCGGTAAAGACGCGCAGCAGTGAGGACGGGGGACCGCGCGCTGGGGTAGACGGCGCAGGCAGGAAGAAAGGCCTCGAGCGCACGCACCTTTTCGCGCTTCTTCTGCTCGTCTTTGACCTTCTTTTCCTCCTCCATGCGCTGCCTCTTCACCTCCCTCTCCTTCACCGCCTGTCGTGCCACACACGCAACGCATTGTGCAAACGCACCGTGCACGTCCGCGCAACGCATTGCACGCGCAAGCACAGGCGGTGAGATTCTGTTACGAGCACCAGCGGCGGACGTTCCTACTCGAAGAGCGCGGCATAGCAAGGGACTAGCGTTGCATCAGCTGCTTCTATACGTCAAGCAGGAAAAACAAATCACGTAAGACAGCCAAGAGCGCAAAACTACTAATGAATGCGTGATAGAAGTTTAAATCAAGACGCCAGGAGAGCAGAGAGGGAGCTTGCTCTCACCTCCTCCTGCTTGCGCTTCTTGTCCACCTCCGCCTTATCCTTCAAGCCGCACGCGATGCATTTATGCGGCATGCCGGGCGCCTTGCCGATCTTGATATCAGAAATGAACTGCGCGAGGCGCCGCACGTCCTGCGGAAGCTGCCCGTTACTCACGCTGCACAGCACCAGCGTGTTCCCGCCGGGCCCTTCGCCGCGCACCTCGAACGAGAACTTCCCTGTAATGGCAATGGCAACTCTGAAGCACTTTGACGTTGCGTTGAGATTTACCAACTAGACGCGGCTTGAACCCGGTGGGGCTTGAGAAGCAGACTCTCGCCTAGTAAATGCAGGAAACCGCGGGATGAAACCGCTCCTGGAGCAGCGTCATCAGCCGGTGCCGTTTGCACACGTAGCACTCAAATCGTTGGATGCTCAAGAAACGCGCAAAGAAACGGTGCGGAAACCACACATGCTGAGGCGAAAAAAAAACTCACGAAAGAATGCGCACGGGAGCGAGAATGGAGGTGCGGGGAGCCCGTCCTAGTACACAACATAGTACACAATGGCGCACAGCCGAACGTCCTAGTACAGAACTTACCCTCGTGAATGAATTTCATTCGGAACCTCCCCATGTCGTTAATGGCGAACGCGGTTCCCGCAGCCGCAACGGCATTCGTGAACCCCGCTTTCGCGACGAACAGCAGCGCCATCGCCGTGCCTCCGCCATCATCAACCGTCGCCCCGTCAACAGCATCCTCGATACTATCTCCAGAGCCGGGGCTGGGGCTGGATAAGCTTATCGGGCCGCCTCCGGCGGGAACGCGGCTGCGCGGGATGCTGACGACGGCCACGTGGTTTTTGGGCTGCCCGATGCGCTGCCCCTCGCGCTCGAATGTGGCCGATACGTTGAAGCAGCCGAGGAGCTCGAAGCCCACTGGCGCACTTACGACCATGGCGGCAGGAATGTGGGAGAATAGAGAGGTCTGTTCACCGGGTACTGTGTGTTGTTAAGGCGACTAGACTAGCTATATGCTTCGAGTGAACTGTCGCGAGGACGGTGTTTAGGCTGAAGGCAGGGTTGGAGTTTCACCAATGCATTGTTAGAGTAAGCACTATTATGCTCCTCCACATACGGACAGGATAGGAGGATATGTGAACAGCGGAGCGTGGCTGCAGAACGGAAAGCATGGAGCAGCCAAACTCGCTGGCTTATGTGCCTCCCACTAACACTCCCTCAGCCTTCTTGGCTGCTTCTCAGTCAAAATAGAACGGGAGGAGGAATGCGACAAGGAATGGGATGGAATGAGAGCAGGGAAACGCACATGTGTCGAAAGAAGCTTGAGGAATGGGTTCAGGAAAGAAAGGGATTTTCATGTGGAGTATGTGGGTCAACTCAACAGCAAGAAAGGATTTTCATGTGGAGTGCTGCTGCTTGCTGGGGTGAAGGCTGAAGCGGATGGAGGAGGTATCGAGGTCGACGGTGCATCGAATACGAATTGGAAGTTTTGAAACTTCAACCAGGCGGAACCGCGGGCGCAGCGATTCTCGAGGTTGGCGGAACAGAGTGCTCAGTTGGCGGGCAATTGGGCGCAGTCCACGAGCCGCGGGCGGGGAATGCGGGGGGATTCTGGGCTTCGATTGGGGGAGTAGGCGGAGTTGGGGGGAGATTGGCGGCCGAGTCAGGGGCGTCGGGGGACGATTCGATTTGGGTTGTTCAAAACGAGAAATCGATTTTCAAACAACCACGGTGGCGTCAGAAAGACGAGGCGGTTCCAGATGACGAGGGAGTGCACAGAATTGTTCTACATGAAAGAGGAATGCAAACTACGGTACTACAAGCAAGCATCATATCCTTCACATGTGTAGTTGATTTTTCAGCATTCCTCACCGCACACTTCAGCAACGTGTACAGGACCAACCGTTTCTTCGCCCGTTAATGCTAACGGGTTTTCCCCGCCTTAGCGCGTCACTTTTGCCAAACCTCGCACTGCTGGACCTGGCCGAGTCAGCCTACGCTTCAAGACTAGTACGAACCTTACGTTCATCATCGCACTAGCTAGCTCGCGCGCACCACGTACCGTTTGTTGTTTTCGCTATAAATGTCCGCTCATGCCTTCGCTCGTGTTGGTACTCCTCGTGCAATCTTCGCTCGCTCGTTCAATTGCACCCGTAACAACACGTAATAATGGTTAGTCATGGCGTGTTCCTACTCTCAAAGTTAGCGAACAACGGAATGTGTGAACTAGGGAAACAAGGGATACAAATAGCAACCCTAAAAGTGTTGTACTCCATAGAGTGCTACTCACTGTAGCCTAAGAACCTATAATAACATTTGACACACCCCCATAGGCTAAGTGAGGGGCATCAAAGCAAGCAGGGTGAACAAACGGTCACAAGACCAGTCAATGCAAGAAGCAAAGCAAGCTCAGGGTGGATCTCAAGGGCACCACACAAATTCCGAGCACAAGCAAGCGGCCACAAGGCCAGTTCAAGAGTTCACTAGGATATATATAGCAAAGCACAACAAGCAGAGCAAACAGCAAGTCTACAGCAACCGAGGGCCTACCTCAACAAGCCCCAACTGCACACAGAACTTGTGGTGGTCACCAAGCGCCAGGGCCTTGGTGAAGACGTCTGCAGTGTTGGCCTCTGAGGCCACAAAGTCCAGGCGTGCCTGGCCGCGTCGCTGTAGCTCTCGCAGAAGGAAGTACCTCACGTCAATATGCTTCACTCTGCTCTCCAGTCGAGGCTCTCGACACAGGAGGATCATGGCCTTGTTGTCAGCGTACAAGGTCGGTGCAGAGTGAGGCCGCTCACCAAGGTCGGCGAGCAAGAAGGTCAACCAGCGAAGCTCCTGTGCCGCCATGGCACCAGCGTATATCTCTGCCTCTGCACTGGAAGTAGCCACAGACGACGACCGTGTAGACCTCCACGACACAGCACCAGCACCCAAACTGAAGCAGTAACCCTGAGTCGAGCGCTGAGTCTCCACGTCGTCAGCGTAGGAAGAGTCGCAGTGACCAGTCAACGCCACTGGCTGAGTCCCTCCAAGCACAAGCCCCATGCCTGATGTAGTCGCCAGGTACTTCGCCACCCTCACAGCAGCTGTCCAGTGGACAGGACGGTGTCTCCCAGTCGCAACAAAGCGAGAGAGGACGCTGAGGGGAAAGGCGAGGTCCGGCCGAGTACAAGTCATCAGGTACATGAGGCAGCCCACCAGCTCTGCGTAGGGACCACTGGACTCAAAAGGCTCGTCGGGAAAGGGGCCAGTGAGTCTGTGGTCAACAGCAAGAGGTGTGGGCTGTGTGGTGGAGAACTGGAAGTCGAACCGCCGAAGGACCTGCTGCACCATGTGTGACTGAGTCAGTGTGATGGTGCGAGCGGCTCTGTCCCTGGTGATCTGCAGGCCAAGGTAGCGCTGCAGTTCACCTAGGCCAGTGCACGTGTGTCTCTTCTGCAGTTCGGACTTCACCTGAGCTAGAGCTGCCCTGTCTGCTGTGGCAAAGACCAAGTCGTCGACGTACACTAGTATAAAGAAAGGAGTGGAACCAGTGCGAACAAACAGCGACGGGTCGGCAGAGGAAGGACAAAACCCAAGGTCACGAAGCGTGGAGCGAAGAGTGTCGTGCCACTCACGGGGCGACTGGCGGAGACCGTAGACTGGCCGTCTCAGGCTCCACTGGGTCCCAGGTGGGAAGGTGTCAGTGAAGTTAGGAGGGCGGCGCAGCCAGATCTCCTCGTGTAGTCGGCCCTGGAGAAACGCAGTAGAGAAGTCATGGGAGTGCAGCTCGTAGTCTCGCTGTGCTGCTACGTGCAGTAACACCCGAAGAGTAGTCATCTTCGGGGTCGGGGCGAAGGTCTGGAAGAAGTCAACTCCCTCACGCTGACTGAAACCCCTAGCCACGTAGCGCGCCTTGAACACAGGCGGTGATCCAGGCGGCCGCTTCACCTTGAAGAGCCACATGCCATCGACTACGTTCGCCCTGGGAGGGGGAACTGCGTCGACGTACGTGCCTGTAGATCTCCAAGACGCTAACTCCGAGGCCATAGCCGCTTTCCACTGTGAGGCCCACGCCCCTGACACTGCCTCGCGGTAAGTGCGAGGAGTCGGTATGTCAAGGGCGTCGGGGTCTCCCTCAGGGGATAGCAGCATGGCACAGACAGAGGGGGAAGCAGCTGCCCAGTACTCCAGCTCAGACTCTCTGTCCTCTAGGACGTCACAGCCAAGGGCAAACCCACCCCCGACGGACAGAGGACGGGAGGGAGGAGCTGGCACCACACGGGTGGTGTAGTCAAGGCGACTGGCGGCAGCAAAATCAGCGACAGCGGCAGTGAGAGCCGAGACAGACGACGGAGGGAAACGAGAGTCGGTGACAAGAGTGGCGAGGACACGAGAGACAACAGGACGAACAGCGCGGTAGTAGTCAGTGACAGGAGTAGGGGGGAAAGGGAGAGAGGACGGAGGCGGAGACGGGAGAACGGACTCAGGAGGAGGACGACGAAGAGACGAACAAAGGAGGGCAGTGCGGAGGTCGGTAACGAGAGACGAGTGACGAGCACGCGGAGGACAGGGACGGACACGAGAGTGTGGGACAACAGGTGGAGGAGACTGCGGTGGAGGAGAAGACCAGACCGCCGGACTGTCGTCAGGAGGAGGAAACGTGGGACCAAACGCTGGAGGGGACGGAGTGTGAACAGGAGGAGAGGAGGGAAGACCAAGGGCCCGAAGGCCACTCACGGGTGGGAATAACTGCCGCTCCAGAGGGAGCTGCTGTGGTCGCAGCTGCGGCGGCGGTGTCTGCTGCTGCTGCGGCTGCTGCTGCTGCTGCGGCTGCTGCTGCTGCTGCGGCTGCTGCTGCTGCTGCTGCTGCTGCTGCTGCTGCTGCTGCTGCTGCTCCAGCAGGTCCAACTGCCGCAACTCCTGCCGCTCCCTCTCCAACAGCACCTGCTCCTCACGCTCACGCCGACGGGCCGCCTGGAGACGTGTGTCATGGCGGTGGGGAGGCGGAGTGGACTCCGCAGAACCAGTGCCTCCAGCTCCAGTCTCCTCAGAACCAGCACCTCCAGTGCCAGCGCCTCCAGCACCAGCACCCCCAGAACCAGCACCCCCAGGACCAGCACCTCCTGTGCCAGCACCTCCAGCTCCATCACCCCCAGAACTAGTACCGCCAGTGCCAGGACCTCCAACTCCAGCACCCCCAGAAGTAGCACCTCCAGTGCCAGCACCTCCAGCTCCAGCACCCCCAGAGCTAGCGCCACCTGCGCCAGCACCTCCAGCTCCAGCACCCCCAGGACTAGCACCTCCAGTGCCAGGACCTCCATCTCCAGCACCCCCAGGGCTAGCGCCACCTGCGCCAGCACCTCCAACTCCAGAACCCCTCAAACGAGCACCCCCGGACCGAGTACCGCCAGTGGCTGCACCTCCAGCTCCAAAACCAACTGAGTCCACAGTAGCCTGTCGCGGAAGTACCGAAGGCTGCTGAGGGGACTGTGAGGAGGACTGCGGGGAGGGAGCCGCTACCTGACGCGCGACCGAGGGTAGAGGGGTAGCGTGAGACACACCTGACGGGGCAGGACCAGGGGGGGGTGGGGGTACCGGAGGAGCGGGAGCAGGGGGAAGAGAGGGTGCGAGGAAAAGGGGGGGAAGGGGAACCGGGAGACCTCGACAGGGGTACCGGGTGTAGTATGACACTGACTCGTCGAACCGGACGTCACGGGAGTCTAGGAACTGGTGGAGGGGCGGGTCGTAAAAAGACCAGTCGGCCGAGGCTACCGGGAAACCAAGGAAGACACAGGGGACGGCGCGAGCCGAGAGCTTGTCCGCAGAGGTGTCGCGGACAAGCGCAAGGCAGCCCCAGACACGAAAAGCTGACCCAACACCAGGGGACCCAGTCCAAAGACTGGTCGGTGAAGCCTCTGGCCGCGAGACGCGCGGCTGGAGGTTCAGCTGGTGAGCGGCGTAGCGAACCGCGTAGGGCCACAGAAAATGGGGCGCACGGGCATGAATCATGGACGTGCGGGCGATGTCCATGACCAAGCCAATGCGGCGCTCAGCAACCCCATTCTGCTGTGGGGACTCTGGCAGCGTCCAGGACTGTACGATGCCCTGCTCGCCGCAGAATCCGGCAAGAATGCCTGAGCGAAACTCACCCCCACGGTCAGAGTGGAGACAGGAGACACGACGGCCACGAGTGCCCTCAGTGGCTAGAAGCCACCGGATCAGCGTAGAAGTCACCTCGGACTTCTTCGCGAGAGGAAACACCGTGGTGTACCTGGAGAAGTCGTCGACGACCACCAGAAAGTAGCGCTCCCTCTCAGGTCCCTGCGTAGGTGCAGGGCCCCAGACATCCAAGTGGAGTGTCTGGAAGGGAGCAGTGGCCGGACGAAGGGAGGAGGAGTGCGGAGTGGCACGAAGACGGCCGGCGACGCAAGGAGTGCACGGCGGCGCAGGCGAGGGAGGGAGCGACGGGAAGACGCGAGGGAGACCTGAGACAAGACGGTGACCAACCATAGTGCGGAGGCGGGGGATCGACGCGTGGCCAAGACGGTGGTGCCACAAGACGGTCCGGTGGGTGAAAGACCGACACGAGCAAGACGCAGCAACTAGACCGGACACAGCAACCTGACCGGACACAGCAACCTGACCGGACACAGCAACCGGTGGGGACGCAGTAACCTGACCGGACTCTGCTACCGGGGGGGACGAAGCAACCTGACCAGACGCAGCTACCTGCGGGGGCGGAGTGTGCAGGACGAAGAGACCTGAGTGGGGCTCTCTGGTGAACGTGGCAAGAACTGCCCCGGTGGAAGAGTCCGTACAGATCGCAGTCCTCCCGTGCGCAGGAAAAGTGACTGTGATCCCCCGGTCCTGAAGGTATCCAACACCCACCAAGTTCCGAGAGAACGAGGGGATGTAGAGACCAGTGAGGAAACCAAAGGGGACAGCTGGGCACGGGAGGGTGGTCGAGCTGCGAGCAACTGCTGGTCCTGAAGTAGGATCAGCCAGGGCAACTGGGACTGGAGCCGAAAGAGGTGTGACAGTGGTGTGGTCGCGGAAGAAGCACTGAGACGCGCCGGAGTCCAGCGTGAAGGAGAGCGACGCAACAGCAGTCGTCACGGCCGGGCTAGTGACTACACAAGCACCTACACTAAAAGCACAAGTACCACTAGCAACAGGCAAAGGTCCTAAGCTAGGTACACGTAAGCCAAGAGATCCGTACGTGACAGAATAAACAGCATCCATAGACATATCAAACACAGGGTAACCACTACGAAACAGACCGGGCCAGATCGGGGGAGCCGACTCAGGCCCAAAACGCTCACGGTAAAGGTCGTCGAGGCGGCTGTAGCAGTGCTGTGCAGAGTGGTCAGGACGCCAGCAGGTAGTGCCAGCGCCAGGGCCGGTCAGGATCCGGTACTGGCAGGGGCCGACGTCGCGGCCACCGCGACGAGCCCCCCAGCTGGCTGGGCCGCTGCTGCAGCCAACGCGACCTGAACCACCAGGCCCCCACGGCTGCTGAGGGCGCCACAGCTGCTGAGGGCGCCCCTGCTGCTGCGGAAGCCACTGCTGAAACGGCCGCTGCTGCTGTCCCTGCTGCTGGAGAACCCTAGTGGACTCCATGATAAAAGCTAGCGGGGTGCAGGAGCGGCAGGCTAGGAGCGACAGGTGAAACTAGGCGAGGAACGCCTGGAGTACGGAGCAAACTGAGCTACGAGCGAGGAGCGAGAACGGCTGGAGCGAGAACGGCTGGAGCACAACTGGCTGGAGCTAGAAACGGCGAGCTAGGGCTGGCTGGAGGTAGGAACGGCCGGAGCTAGAGACCGTAGGTGCGGCTGTCGGCTGCCGCTAGTAGAGCCACTGGCAGTGGAACGTACGTGCGACAATAGGGGCTGCAGTACTGACGGCTGCGGGATGCAGGCAACTGTGCAGGTCGTCCGGCAAGCAGGAACGTGGCCGACAGTTGCAGGCCCCCACCCGAAACCCTTTTTTTTTTTTTTTTTTTTTTAGGGTTTAATTTTTTATTTTCTGGCGCTAAAGCGCTCCGGGGCGCGCTGCCTGCAGGGTGTGCTGCCTGCGGGGCGCGCTACCCGCGGGGCGCGCCGCCTGCGGGGCGCGCTACCCGCGGGGCGCGCTGCCCGCGCGGCGCGCTGCCTGCGGGGCTGGGGCGACGGGCCAGGGCGCGGGCTGGGGCGACGGGCTAAAGCGGGCGCCTGGGCGACGGGCTAGGGCGGGCGCCTGGGCGACGGGCTAGGGCGCGGGCCTGGGCGACGGGCTAGGGCGGGCGCCTGGGCGACGGGCTAGGGCGGGCGCCTGGGCGACGGGCTAGGGCGCGGGCCTGGGCGACGGGCTAGGGCGGGCGCCTGGGCGACGGGCTAGGGCGGGCGCCTGGGCGACGGGCTGGGGCGGGCGCCTGGGCGACGGGCTGGGGCGGGCGCCTGGGCGACGGGCTGGTGCGGGCGCCTGGGCGACGGGCTAGGGCGGGCGCCTGGGCGACGGGCTAGGGCGGGCGCCTGGGCGACGGGCTAGGGCGGGCGCCTGGGCGTCGGGCTAGGGCGGGCGCCTGGGCGACGGGCTAGGGGCGCAGGCTAGGGGCGCTGAGGGCTCTAACGCGCGGAGGAGGAGGGCGCTAAGGCGCGGAGATGGCGCGGAGGGCGCGGAGGGCGCGGAGGCTAAGGCGCGGAGGGCGCGGAGGGCGCGGAGGGCGCGGAGGGCGCGGAGGGCGCGGAGGGCGCGGAGGGCGCGGAGGGCGCAAGGGTGCGGAGGGCGCAAGGGTGCGGAGGGCGCTAGGGCGCTAGCTAGGCTAGGCGAGAGGATCGACACCTACTCATGATACCATCTCAAAGTTAGCGAACAACGGAATGTGTGAACTAGGGAAACAAGGGATACAAATAGCAACCCTAAAAGTGTTGTACTCCCTAGAGTGCTACTCACTGTAGCCTAAGAACCTATAATAACATTTGACACCTACCTACGCCTCTTATCAGACTTGCCTGGTAACAACCCCCCCCCCCCCCCCCCCCCCCCCCCTTAGTGTTTCAGTGCAAAACGATGCTAGCCTGATAAGGGGTCGTCAGAACACGCCCTCAATATGCACATACGGCACCAAATGGTACAGCTGGTTTTATTATTTAAGTAATACCGAAGCACATACGGTACTGTCTTTATAACAAGAACACATTATTATGAACGGAAGAAAGGTACTGCATGGAAACAGTGGACTGCGGAGCTCAGACGGCACCGAGAAAGGCATGCCATTCAAGCCATTGTAACATTGAATCATTTTACACCATTTCTTAAATGCCAAAGCAGCTACAGAACCCTCCCTTTTTGCGAGCTGGCTTCTGAGGCTGCGATGGTACAGGGGATAAGAGGAGGACGGGAGGTAGAGTCGGTGTGCGTGCAATAGAGAGAATGGAATAGACGCAAGGGGGGGACCGGATGGATAAGGGAGGGGGGGAGGGGAGGAGGTGGGGAGGGGACGTGATGGAGGGAGATTGACAGCACAGAAATCAAACAAGTAACCACAAAGACAACGCTGCAGCAGCAAACCAGCAGGCCGTACACCACCACAATTCCACACCACACCTCCATACCACCACAACCCCACTGCACCACAAGCACAGTACAGCAGCACTTACGGGATACGGTGGTGCAGCTCCTGTTTGCCCTGCCAGCGCTGCTCCTGCAGCCGCAAACCCTCCCCCTGCTCCTGCTGCATACGCCGCCCCGCCTTGTAGCGGCACCTGCCCTGGCCCAGGATACACCTGCCCCGGGTACACCTGCGCTGGGTAACCCTGCCCCTGCCCTTGTCCCTGCCCCAGACCCTGTGCCTGTGCCTGTGCGGGGTGCACCTGCCCTGGATAGCCCTGCACCGGGACTGGCACTCCCTGCCCCCGCACCTGTGGCCCCTGCCCCTGCCCCTGCCACTGACTCTGGGGAGGCTGGCCTGGATAAGCCTGCCCTGCATTAGCCTGCCCTTCATAAGCCTGCCCTGCATAAGCCTGCCCTGGCAAAACCCCAGATGCATACGCCTTTTGAGAAAAAGCCTCAGTTGCATAGGGCTGACCTGTGAGGCCTGGACCAACGTACAAGCCCCCCTGCGCGCCCCCCTGCTGCCCCCCCTGCTGCCATCCCTGCTGCCCCCCTTGCTGCCCCCCTTGCTGCCCCCACAGCTGCCCCCCTTGCTGCCATCCCTGCTGCCCTCCCTGCGGCCCCATTGATTGCTGTCCCATCGCTTGCTGCCCCATGCCCTGAGACATGCTCCCCGAATCACTCCCCTGCCGCTGCCCACTGTACGAACCCACGTCCGATCCTGCACCCGAAACCACTCCCGAACCTGCCCCTGCCCCAACCACCCCTGACCCCGAACCCGACCCTGACCCCGTCCCAGATGCATTGGCGGCCACCAGAGCTAAAGCCCCTGACCCTTCTCCTCCTCCTGCTGCTCCTGCCGCTCCTCCTGCCGCCCCTGTTGCCCCTCCTCCTGCTATTGCGGCAGGCATCTCAGCAGACCGGGACATGCTACCAGCGCGCCTGACATACGTGGGAGAGTCCATGCCCACAAATGGCGGCGCCATTACCATTTCCACCAGTGCCCCGCATGATGGTTCCTGCCCCCCCGCTGCCTCCCCGCCTGCCCATGCCGCCTCCTCTTCTGCTGCTACCGCTCCCCCTGCTCCTCCTGCTCCTCCTGCTCCTGCTGCTCCTGCTGCTCCTGCTGCTCCTGCTGCTCCTCCCCCTGCTACCACTCCCCTCCCTGCCGCCGCCGCAGCAGCAGGGCGGTAATCACTACCCAAAGCAGTCTCCTGCTTCCTGCCCGCCATATGCGCTTCATAAAACTCTGTGTACCCGCCGCCACCGCTCCCTCCTCCCGCTCCCACTCCCCCTTCGCCCCCAGCTGCTGCTACAGGTTGACCGTTCATATACCCCACTCCTCCCCCTCCTCCCCCTCCTCCTCCCCCCCCTGCTGCTGCCCTCGACCCTGCTGCAGCAAACGCAGAGGCACCATCAGCAGCGGCAGAACCAGGAAGACCACTCGTGTTGTTCCCTGGATCAACAAAGCAGCCGCTGCCGGCATAGTCACTCCCAGTATAATCACTCCCTGTCAGCCCGCTGAACGTGTACAGACCCCCTCCCGCACCTGCTTCGCCGGATTGGTTGCCTGACTGCCCACCTGAGTTAGCACCTGGCTGGGTGCTGGAACTGTAACTATGCGAGGTAAGAGCGGACGGGCCCCGTGGGGGGGAGAAGAAGGGAGGAGCAGAAGCAAGAGCAGCTGCTGTAGCAGCAGACAACGCTGCCGCAGAAGCAGCAGCAGCAGCAGCAGCGGAATTAGCAGCAACGCCTGCAGCAACGGCAGGAGCGGGGTCGGCTGGTGGAGAATAGGGAGCAGCAGCATCAACGGTTGAGAGCGCAGGAATGGCAGCAGGAGTAGCAGCAGCAGCAGTGACAGTGACAGCAGCAGCAGTGCTTGCTGCAGCAGCAGGAACAGAGGTTATGGGGAATGTGCTGTTGCGACCCTCACCACCAGTGCCTGCACTGTCACCAATCCCACCAATGCCACCAATGCCGGCTGCACTGTCAGCTTCATTCACTGGGTACGTATACTCATCCCCTCCGTGCTTCTCACCTGCCAAGTCCCACTCTGGCTGCCCCACCCCTGGCATTCCTGCCGCCGCTGCGGCCAGTGCTGGTGCTGCTGGTGCTGCTGGTGCTGCTGCTGGTGCCTGTACTGCTGGTGCGTTGGTGGATGAGGATGGTGAGAGTGATGCGGGTGCCTCATGCGCCCAGACCTCCACACCTTCCTCCACCCCAAACGGGCATGCGGACGGGTCAGTGTGACCCACAGTAGCTGCTGCCACTGCTGCTGCCGGCGCTGCTGTTGCTGCTGCTGCTTCTCCTGGTGTTGCTACCTCCCCTCCTACTGCGCCCATATCAAAGGCAGTGGCACCCCTGGCAGCAGCAGCAGCAGCAAACATCTCCCGTTCAACCGCCGCCCTTTCCTGGAAACGACCCCACTCCGCGCCTCCGTCCCCACCGCCTCCCCCCATGCCGTCCCTCTCCTCCCCCCCTCCCACAGCGGATTCTTGACCGGATTCCTCCTCCCACCACCTCCTCTCGTACTCCCTCCCAGCTGCCTTTGCCCCTCCCTCCTCAGTCCCCTCCCCAATCCCCTCCCCAGCCCCCTCCGCAGCAGCAATACCAGTAGCGACGACACCAGTAGCGGCACCGGTAGTGACACCGGTAGTGACACCGGTAGTGACACCGGTAGCGACACCGGTAGTGACATTATCCCTGACCTCCTCTTTCACCCCCTCCTCTCCCTCACTCCCAATCTCTCCTTCTCCCACTCGCTCACCCCCCACTCCCTGCACACCCTCTCTCTCCTTCCTGCTCCAATGTTCCCCCACCTCCCTTTCCCCTTCATACCCCTTCTTTACCTCCCCCTCCCCCTGCCCCTGCCCCTGCCCTTGCCTCTGTCCCTCCCCCTCGCCCCCCTCACTCTGCTCTGCCATTTCACTATCCAACCCCTCATCTTCCCCTTCCTCTACCACAGCCAACCCCATCCCCATCTCTGCACTCATCGCCACCATCCCCGCCCCTCCATACCCCTGCATCCCCCCTCCGTACCCCTGCATCCCCCCTCCATACCCCTCCAATCCACCACCATACCCCTCCAATCCACTCCCATACCCCTCCGTTTCCCCGCCCCACACATACCCTCGCCCGGCCATCCCCACACTACCCTCCCCATGCCCGTGCCCCCCAAACTCCTCTTTCCCCGTTCCCCACAGCACCTCTCCCGCTCCCTGCCCTCCCCCCCCCTGTCCCCCGTGCGTTCCCTGCCGTTCCGCCCCTGCCACCGCCGCTACCCCTCCCTCACCACCACTTATGTGCGAAGGGGCAGCACCAGCAGCAAACACGGGCGCGGCTGTGCCAGAGGGAGCGCCAATACCAGCACCAGCACCAGCACCACCATCCCAACCGTTCTCAGCATACTCACTCTCGTTATATCCACCTGCTGCTGCTGCTGCTGCTGCTGTTGCTGCCACTGCTGCTGCCGGTGCTGCCGGTGCCACTGGCGCTGCTGACGGTGCTGCCACTGCTGCTGACGGTGCCGCTGCTTGTGCTGGTGCTACAGCTTCCACTGCTGCTGTCTGGTTCTGCACAACGCTGCCGCTGCTGCCGGTGCTGCTGCCACCGCTGCTGCAGCTAGCAACAGGCGCGCCCCCCATGGCCATGGCAAGCACCTGCTCCAGCCCAGCAGCTAAACGCTGCCTCTCCCCCGCACTCAGCACCTCCCCGTGCAGCAGCCGCTGCTGCAGCTGCTGCATCTCTGCCAGCGACGGCGCCGGTGCTGCTGCTGCTGGTGCTGGTGCCGGTGCTGCTGCTGCCGCTGCCGCCGGTGCTGCTGTCATCGTTGCCGGTGGTGGTGCTGGTGGTGCCGGTGCTGCTTCAACAGCAGAAGAAGCATGGGCATGGGCAGGAACAGGGGCAGGCACAGGGGCAGGCGCGTATTCGTACCCATACTCGCGCACATGGGCGGGCGGAAGGGCCGGGGCAGGAGGAGCAGCAGGCAGAGCAGCAGGCGGAGGGGCAGTCACGGCAGCAGGCAGAGAGGCGTAGTGCAGCGGTGGGGAGTCCGAACCAGCAGGGGGAGAGGCGCGGTGCAGCGGTGGTGGTTCAGACGCAGCAAGGGAAGAGGGGTTGACGAATGGGGGTGGAGGGACCGGTGCGGATTGCGCAGGCGCGAGAAAGGGAGGGGGTGGGGCGGAATCAGAAGGGGCGGAGGTGGCGGAAGGCGGGGGGAGGACAATAGGGGGAACTAGGGCTGCTGGCGCGGGGGGTGGGGGGGGCTGCGCGGCAGTACTGGGCTGGGGGAGAGAGGAGGAGGAGGGGTAGAAGGGCGGGGGCGCGGGGGCGGAGGATGGGGGCAGCGGAAGGGAGGAGGAAGGGGGGAAGGCGTAGGGGTCGGGGGAAGAAGAGACGCTGGGGAAGGGCTGGGGGAAGGACTGGGGGAAGGAGGAGTCAGAATTCTGTGGGGAAACCAGGGAGTTCTGGGTAAAAAGCAAGGGGGAACGGTGGGGGTGGGGGGGAGGGGGATGGGGGAAAGAAAGGGGGGAAGGAGGCGGGTGAGAACGAGGGGAGAGGGCGGGTGAGGGGTGCTGGAAGGGCGAGCCGTAAGGCGGAAGCAGAATGGGGGCGGAAGGGGGTTGGAATGGGGGGAGGATGGAGACGACAAGGTATGGTGGGGAGGAAGATAAGGGGCAAGCAACAACACTACTGGCAAGCAAGCTAAGGGAATGAGAGGAGGCGAATGAGAGGAGGCGAATAAGAGAGGAATGGCTGGAGGCGAATGTTAGTGGGTTGAGCAACTGATTCCACTGAGGTGACTCTAAAGTCGACTCAGAAGGTGAGCGAGAGAGAGTGCAACCGATTTTGAGGCGCAACAAAAGCCCTTCTAGGGGTTGAATTGAGAGCCCAATCCTGCTAAGCGGTGAGAGTGCAACCAGTCTCGCTTCATCTTGTCGCGCTAGATAGTGACTTGGTGGCACTGTTTGTACAAAGGTGACTTACCGGAGTCGACTCCTAAGTCAATTTCATTGAGAGGAGAGAGAGTGCTACCAGTCTCATTCGCCCCATCATGCTGTGCTTGCTTGTGCCTTAGTGGCACTGTTTGTACAGCAGCTAATCAATCCTTATCTGTGAATAATCAATCTTTGGGGCGTCTGAAAAAGCAGCCGGTCTTTCTGTGTGCCGTTCCGTGTGTCATTCTGTGTGTCTTTCTGTGTGTGCAATCATTTGTTTTCGTGAGCTTTGTTCTCTGCGCTCCGCTCCATGAATTTCCGTTCTGCACAGTCGTGTCCTATTCAATGGCTTCTTGAAGCCGTTCAATAAGACACGTGTTTCCATTCTGAACGAAAAAAAATAGATTAGGAGAAGCGGCAGAGAGGCGAGTAGAGCAATGGCGTGTGGAATGAAGCAATAGCAGCCGTTGATGGAGGTTAATCAAAGAGCGCGCTTCTCAACCTCACCTTGCTTAATTTTGAGGCGCCTCAAAAGGAGAAGCGGCAGAGAGGCGAGTAGAGCAATGGCATGTGGGATGGAATGAAGCACTAGCAGCCGCTAATGGAGGTTGATCAAATAACGCGCTTCTAAACCTCACCTCGCTTGTTTGCCGCTGGTGAGTCATCATCTGCTGCTGCTGAGTCATCATCTGCTCGGCGCGCAGCCTATCGTGCATCATCGTCTGCTTCGCCAGAATCGCATCGTACTCAGGCCACGCGCATTGCCCGTTCCCGCGGTGCTCCCCCTTTGCCCGGAACACCTCCGTGAATTTCGGCTGCCCGTCCGCGCCCGCGCCCGCGGTCGCCGCGCGGATCGCCGCCGCCGCCGCCTGCGCCGCCGCGTTTTCCGCCGCCGAGCCCTTGTTGAAATTCGGCGGGGGCTGCGGAGCGTTCCACGAGCCGAATACGGGGAGCGCCGCGGAGGGGCCCTGCGCCGTCGACGAAGGGGATTACAGCGGGAGAACGCGATGAAGAGGAGGAGAAAAAGAGACGAACAGAAAAAAAAAAAACAAAAAAAACAAATGAGCCGGCGCGGAGAAGAGATGTGTGGGATGTTCGCGGATTGACCTGGACGCAAATTGGGAAGCAAAAGAGCAGAAAGGTAGCCTTCACAGGTTTCTGCCGGGTCCAGGAACAAGCCTTTTGTGATGCGCGGATTTATTATTCTCGAATTGAAGGGATGGAAAAAGATAGGGTTTCAAAGGGATGGCGGACGGGGAGAGGAGGAGGGCGGGAGGCGGGGAGCCGTAAGGTTCCAGGGCAGAAAAGCGTGCGGACGTTTTGCTTGCACCCGCACACACGGCATAATTACATGCGCGTCGCCGCGTTTCGTCTCACCTTCCCCTTGCGCAGCTTCGGCACGTGCACGGACCGCGGCTTCGTGGCGGATGATGCCGCGCCGTCGCTCATGCCGCCGCTGCTGTTGCTCGCGTGAAACGCGGCGCCACCGTCCCACGAGTCCGCGCCGAACAGACTCTCCACCGCCGGCGCCATTCCCGGCGACGACGGGCCGCGCGCGCCGCCGCCGTAGTCGCCGCTGCCATTGTTCCGCCGAGGCATGGCGTACTTTCAAATACCTATTATTTCTTTTCCGTCAAGTCGAGAGTGGAAGGGGTTGATGGAGATAAAGGTAGATTGCGTGAGCAGTTGACACTGGCCAACGGACTTTGGCGTGGTCTTGATACAAGACAATATAGAGGACGTAGGTGACTGGTCGCCGTTCGAATCCCAAATAGCTCAGAAATCTCAAGGCTCACGATAGGTTACGTTAGATAAGAGACACGGTTGACATTGAAAGTGGGCTGCTAGCATCTTGTGGGAACAAATAGTCGGTGTTTTCAAGGCGGTTCTTTGTAGAAAGAACAGGCGATACTGACAGCAGGGAGGGAGGGAGGAGAACAAGAATGTGGAAATGCCGTGTGTGGTGTTTTGATTCGAAGCTTTTGGGTTGAATCTTGTCGGTTGACTCTTCTAGTCTTGCTCGTCAGTGCAGGGGTGAGGGGTGTGGGTGTGTGCGGATGGGGGGTATGGGTGAAGTGAGGAGGAGGAAGTTGGGGGGCGCTATTTCTTCTCTTGCTCGCTTGGCTTCGCACAAGCGGAGGGCGTTCACGGGATTGGTCGCGACTCGTTCGCACAGGGTATAGGGGTGGTGCGTAGAGTCGCGGTCGTGGAGGAGTTTGTACAGCGACGCTGTGGCTGTTATTTTCGGACCCAATCGAGTGCTTCGTTTCGTCAGTGGGCTGACGTGGTGGACGAGAAACTTCTGAGCCTGTGCGACGTTGTCAGACCTCGCTGGCTGTCGGCGAAAGAATCAGCGGTGTGTTGGCGGGGATATGGGGGATTCTTCCTGCGACAAGTCAAGTCGTCTTGATTCTTGCTGGTCGGCGGAGTAAACAATGAAAGGCCGAACTTTGGTATGCTATTTGTTACGTACCACTTCTGTAAAAATAGCAACCATTCTCTGGTTTGTCCTGAGTTGTAAATGGACCGATCAAATATTTTCCACCCAGGGAATTCGTGCTGGCCGACACCACCAGTCACCTTCACGAAATGTGGCGTTACCACGCGAGCCAGCCCAAGAAAACAGCAGAATGCTGGTTGTATGGAAAACTCGATACAGCGTAGTGAACAAGCGCTATTGTTGCAAGATACACTTCGAAGGAGCAGCTTACACAAACTGAAAATACTCGTCCCACATTCTGGTCATGCACTGGCAAGTCCAGCGCATCCTCGTTCAACGCACACCGTCTGTTCATGTCCTCATCTCCACGTCGCCAACCTGGTTGGTCCACGAAATGCCACGCTGTCGCTTCATATCGCACACGCGTCGCCGCAACACTCATCTGAAAATCGCACCCACTCGCAGCCAGCCACATGCTGCAAATGCGTCGCACGCAGAACAACACATCAGAGAACAAATTCGCCCCTTTTTCGACACCAATTTCTCGACTCGAATCCAGCACCACCTCCAAGTCGCCTGCTTGACCAGCCTGAAGCTATCCTGCGTGTGCGTGCACCTACCCCAATCCACACCACAAGTCGTCGTGAAACAACACTCCAACCACTCCCCGCTCATTTCTCGTGCTTGGAGTGTGCTTGCTAGCCTACCCACGGCAATCTAGCTGCTCCACCAGCCAACCATGGCGTCGCAACTAGCCGCCGCCCGCGGCCCTGCATGTCTCGCTCCCTTACAGCCTTGCCGCGAGGCATGCCGTATCTCTGCCGCGCCGTCGCTGCAAGTCCATCGCAACCGTTTATCTCCGCAAACAACGCTAAACCGTTCGCATCATCATGACCGCGCCTCCGGCCTCTCGTCGTCGCGCGTCGCCAGCACCAATCATCGCTCTCTCTTCCCCTCGCTGCGCTCCAATCGCGCGCTGCCACGTCAGCAGCGCGCGACGGTGGCGATGGCTGTCGAGGCTGGCGCGTCTGTCGCCGCTGGTTCCGGCAGCGATAGCGCGGCGGCGGAGGCGTGGCGCCCGGAAGCCGAGGCGGCGCGAGATAAAGCGGCGGGCTCAAAATTCGTGTGGGAGAAAAACTGGTATCCTGCAGGTACGTGGCCTTGATACGGCTTGATGCGTTAATGTGACTAACGGGAATGTCACTAACGGGACTGTGACATTCCACGAACCAAGGGCGTGGGCTGTTCCGATCATCGTGCGCCCTGGCAGCACCGTTACGCGCAGCCGCGTGAAAGAAGCGTCGAATTGTGCGCGTCCGGACCGTTTGTCCACATGACGTTCTCCTGAGAGATGCGCAACGAGCATGCCCGGGTCACTTCCGAGAACCCTCCCCGCTTTCCCCCCCCCCGTTTCCCCCGTCCCCTGGTCCCCTCCGCCAGCCGTGGTGCGCGAGTTGGATCCGCGCGTGCCCGTGGCGCTGACGCTGCTGGGGCGGCCCGTGGTGATCTGGTTTCACGCGCCCTCCGCGCAGTGGCTCGCATTCCACGACCTCTGCCCGCACAGGTGCCTGGGCTACGCTCGCTGTGTCGCACAGGTGCCATTTACAGAATCAGCTGAGCGCCTCACTGTGTCACATGCTTGCAGCAGCAACGTGCCTCTGCCGTCCTTGCGTTCTTGCTCTGCTCATCACTCCCGCTCTCCGCTTCCCCTGTCCTGTTACATTGTGTGCGCATGTGCGTGCATGTGCGTGCATGTGTCTGCATGTGTCTGCATGTGTCTACATGTGTCTACGTGCGCATGTGAGAGCAGGCTAGCACCGCTATCAGAGGGGCGCATTCACGAGTCGGGCGATCTGCAGTGCAGCTATCACGGGTGGACCTTCGCCCCCGATACCTCCTGCACCTCCATCCCCCAGGCCCCCTCCGATGGCCCGCCGGTGAGCCCTCATCCCAGCACCGCACAGCACTGCACAGCACACCACAGTACAGTACACAGCGCACCACTGCCATGACGCGCGCACCGGCTCACGTCCTTTGATGAAGTTATTGATGAATGAACAGTATTGCAGACTGGCAAGCTGCTGCCAAGCAAGCAGTCTTCCCCGTCCCCTTGGCCCATCCCTCCCTCCCCCTTCCCTCAACCCCCTTCCCTTTCCCTCACAACCAGGTGAACACATCCCCTAAGGCATGCGCGCGCAGCTACCCCACGTGTGTGCGGCACGGCATCGTGTTCATCTGGATGGACCACTCGCCCTCCGCTGCTGCAGAAGCCGCTGCCTCCCCCGTGCCTGTGGTGCCCGAGCTTGAAGACCCCACCTTCCAAGGAGATGTTGTTCAGACCGACCTGCAATACGGGTGGGTGCTTAAGGGTCCAGGTTGAGGGATGTGCGGGGGAAGGGGTGCCGCTGCCTCCCCCGTGCCCGTGGTGCCAGAGCTTGAAGACCCCACCTTCCAAGGAGATGTTGTTCAGACCGACCTGCAATACGGGTGAGTGGCAGAGGGCCTGGTTTTAGGCGAAGCGGGAGAGGGGGTGAGGGGAAGAGGGGGAGAGGGGGAGAGGGGGAGAGGGGTAGAGGGGGAGAGGGGGAGAGGGGTAGAGGGGGAGAGGGGGAGAGGGGGCGAGGGGGAGAGGGGGAGAGGGGGAGAGGGGTAGAGGGGGAGAGGGGGAGAGGGGGAGAGGGGAGAGGGGGAGAGGGGTAGAGGGGGAGAGGGGGAGAGGGGTAGAGGGGGCGAGGGGGCGAGGGGGAGAGGGGGAGAGGGGGAGAGGGGGAGAGGGGGCGAGGGGGAGAGGGGTAGAGGGGGAGAGGGGGAGAGGGGGCGAGGGGTAGAGGGGGAGAGGGGGAGAGGGAAGCTGCTGCCTCTCACGTGCCCGTGGTGCCCGAGCTTGAAGACCCCACTTTCCAAGGAGATGTCGTGCAGACCGACCTGCAATACGGGTGGGTGCACAGGCAGGGGGAGGGAGGTGCGAGGGAGGTGCGAGGGGAAGGGAAGGGAGAGTGCAGTGCAGACAGACCTGCAGTATGGGTTGAGCGCCTGCTGCTGGGCCATGCCCCATGCCCCATGCCCCATGCCCCATGCCCCATGCCCCATGCCCCACATACCCAGCCTGAGGTGGAGAACCTAGTATTTTCCCTGCTCTCACTGTGAACCTCGTGCTCACATGCCCGTGCCCCATGCCCCCCCCACACCCTATGTTATGTTCTATCCCGCCCCCATGCCCCACCCCCTCCCAGCTACGAGCTGCTGGTGGAGAATCTAGTGGACCCTGCCCACGTGCCCTTTGCCCACCACAAGATCATGGTACGTTGAAAGAACTTTTTGAGAATTCTCAAGACCATTCTCATTCTACAATATCATTATACGGTCGTGCTGCCACTGCTGCTACTAAGCCCCTGGCCGCCTCCCGTTGCAACAAGTGACACCAGCACCATCACACACCCACTTCCATTTGCGAGCATCTGTGCAGCAGGCCTCCCCCAATTCGTGCTTTCTGCCTCTCTCCCTCTTATTCCTTTCCTTCCCCCTCCTCCCTGCCTCCCGCCCTCCAGAGCAACCGCAAGTTTGGCAAGCCACTAGACCTGACAGTGAACGGCATCCGAGCAACGGGCTTCCAGGGGTCAAACGACCAGGGCGGGCCCTTTGAGTTCCTGCCTCCCACGCTCGCTCGCCAGGAGATCATTGTGAAGCCCAAGCCCGGACAGGTGGGTAACCCCTCCACCACTCCTCTCCTCTCCTCTTCTTTCCTCGTCTTTTAAGGCGTATCTAAACTCGCTCGCCAGGAGATCATTGTGAAGCCCAAACCTGGACAGGTGGGTAACCCCCTCCAACACTCCTCTCCTCTCCTCGCCTCTCCTTCCCCTTACCGACCCACTTTTGAGGCGCCTCAAAGGCCGTTTCAGTTCCTGCTCCCGCCCACGCTCGCTCGCCAGGAGATCATTGTGCAACCCCAACCCGGATAGGTAGGTAACTCCTCCTCTCGTTTCCCTATACCAGCGCACCCCTCTTCTCCTCTCCCTTTACCCGCCCCCTTTTTGAGAATTTACGCAAGCCCTCCGTTTTCCCTTCCCCTTCCTACACACTGTCCCGATCAGTGTCTCTTCCCTGGCTTCCCTCACATCGGTGCCCCATCTCCCCCTTCACTTTCAGCCCCGTTCTCTCCCCACCCCACCAACCCCCTCCTTTAACCTATCTCTCCTCTCCCGTGTTCCTTCCTTCTGGCCCCTCACCAGCCCCCGTCAGACCCCCCCAAGAAGCTCGTGCTGGCCTTCTACTGCATCCCCACTTCTCTCCCGTGTTGTACTCATATCATATCTCACAAACTCTTCCTGTTTTCTACCCTTCCATCCTCTCCTCTCCCTCACCACCAGCCCCCCTCAGACCCACCCAAGAAGCTCGTGTTAGCCTTCTACTGCATCCCAACCTCCCCCGGCAAGTCGCGGCTCATCTTCACCTTCCCCTCCAACTTCTTCCCGCCCATCGTCGCCCTCGTGCCGCGCTTCCTCACCCACCTGCGCCAGCTCGTGATTCTCGACTCCGACCACTACTTCCTGCACGTGCTGGTGAGGGGGGAGGAGAAGAGGGGGGGGGAAAGAGGGTGGAAAGTGGAAGAGAGGCAGGGGCGAGGGGAGGGCGGGTTGTGAGAGCTTTCAGCTTCCTCACGCACCTGCGCCAGCTCGTGATCCTCGACAGCGACCACTACTTCCTGCACGTGCTGGTGAGGAGAAGAGGGGGGAAGAAGAGGGGGCGGGAAGAGAGAGGTCAGAATGAGGGAAGGGGTTTGGGGTTGCAGGGGTAGCGGGGCTTCCTCACGCACATGAGTGTGAGTGTGAGGAGGGGAGGAGGAAATGCATTCTGTGTGGTCTCTTATGGGATCCCACATCCTTCCTTCATTTGCACGCCCCATCATGCCCTCATCCCCCCGACACGCCCCGTGGTGCCCTTCTCTCCCTCCCTTCAGGAGCGGAGGCTAGAAGAAGAAAAGCTGCTGTTGGCTGCTGCTGCAGGGGCTAGTGGCAAGCCCCACACCACCACCAGCACCACCGCCACCATCAGCAGCAGCAGCAGCACGAGCATCAGCACGAACAAGGCATACTTTACGCCAACGAGGTCGGATGCATTCGTGACGGCCTTCCGCTTCTGGATGGACAACTACGCCGGGGGAGGCGTCGCCTGGCCGTCCTATGTCAACCCTGCGCTTCCACCCACACTGCCGAAGCAGCAAGTCATGGACAGGTGAGGAGTCAAAAGCCTGTCACTCAGAGACACTCCGCCCGTAGACATGTAACTCACAAGCACTCACACTCACAAGCACTCGCACTCACAAGCACTCCAGAGCAGCGGCCTCTTAGCGAGGCTGGCAAAAGCAGCAGCGGGGGAAGTGTGCGGAACAGTTGAGGAGCCACTTAGCCTCTTCCTAGTTGCTTCTTACCAGTTCTTTAACCGATTCCACCATTCTCACTCGAACCCCCTAACCCTCTTGTGCCTTGGCTTGCCTTTTGCGCTCTCTGTCTCTCCCCCCTTTTCTGTCTCTCCTCCCTCCTCTGCCTCTCCCCCCTTCTCTGTCTCTCTTCCCTCCTCCGTCTCTCCCCCGTTCTCTGTCTCTCCTCCCTCCTCTGTCTCTCCCCCTTCCTCTGTCTCTCCCCCTTCTTTCTCTCTCCCTGCCATCGAGCAGGCAAGTGAGCCACATCAGTATCTGCAAGACATGCCAGTCAGCCCAGCGCCTTGCATCTCGTGTGCGACTTGCCTTGTGGGCCGCTGCTTTTGCCTGTCTCGCTCTCCTCGCCCTGCTCCCCACCCTCTCTGCTCTGCAACGGTTGCCGTTCTCCCTCGGAGTTGCTGTGCCTCTTGCCGTTGGAGCTCTGCTTTTTGCCGCCGCTGCCCATTTTGTGGGTCGCTATATCGAGCGTACATTCTATTATAGCGAGTATGTCCATGCACTCGTGGAGTGAGGGGGATACACTAGGTAGACACGATTTGCTGATTGTGGCCTCAAAGTTTTAAGCATGATTACACCTGTTTGCGAATTCTATACCCTTCACCAACCAACCAAAGCTAGGTAGTTATTTACAGCAGTAATCTATTCTTGGGGCATGGACCAACTGTTCAACTAGTAAATGCCTCCCAGGTACCGCTACGCCTACAGTAACCAAGATTTTGGAGCATGAGACTGCTACCGTTGGTGAGTGGGTGATCATAGAGCAATTGGCCATTCCAAACTGAAATCAATGTGTAGCCTTCATAGCCATTGTCACCTCTGGGGTCGCGTTCATGCGCAGGGAGACCATCCCAGAGTTTGAAAACCATGTTATGCCATACGATGTCAACTGACCTTGACATGATATGACGAGTTTATAAAACACAGCTGACCGAGTGTACTCAGTGCATCGATAATACGTGTAGCATGCTCTTGTATAGGATTTGTTTGAGCATCCATCGAGCAATTCAACCTCCGTTTGAAAACAAATCGTGTGCAGCACAAGGTGCCCAAACTTCGGATGGTGTCCGTGCAGGGAAGCAATCTGAAATCAATTTGAAAGTGTGACCAAACCTGGAGAAGTATGATGCAAAAGAAGTAGAGGGAAATGTGGAATTGTTTTAAAATAAACGAGAGACTATACGTGGTAGATGCTCAGTATGTCATTTGGATTCCTAAGGTATGTTTAGATTTTAACGGTGAGGCCCTTATTTAGGAAAATGTTACCGTATTATGAAGTTCTCTTAATGAAGTCAGTTGTGTATTTTGTTGGAGACTGTAAGGAAAATCCCTTTTCCTTACTTCGCGTCCCTGCTCAGCGCGTACACCACTGTTCCCGCCAGCAGCACCCAACAGTAATCCGTTACCACTCGCGACACTCGCTTCGACACCATTCCCGCCACCGTTCACGACGCGACCCAACCTCACGGTTCGGTTGGTAACCCGCGCTCCGGACCTCCGCCTCGACATCTCCCAACCTCGGCACTAGGCCCGTCGCGCACCCCACTTTTCACACATTACCGTTACCACTGTAGTTTCGCTATATATTCTTCGCTCATGCCTTCGCTCATTGTACTTTTTGCTTCGATAGTGCAATTCTCGTTCGCTCACTCAATTGCACTCGTAACACTTGGTATTCAGAGCCTACGATCTCCTCTCGGACCGCACCCACACCTTCGCTTCCCCACTATCTCAATTTTTGGGGGGGGTAGACGTCTCTCAGCGAACAAGCACCGCCGCTCAAAGTGCTCTCTCGTAAGCACGCACGGCCACGACCAGGGCTCATTTTTGGTTTTGACCAACCCTTACGATCAGTCTAGCATCTGTTCAAAAACCTGATTTTCAGGGTTGCCCGTTGTGGAAAACCTGATGCGTCAGGGTTTTTGCATGTATTAAAACGACTACCCTGAGTCATCAGTGTACCAATTCGCAAAACCCTGTTTCAGTTGTTATTAACACAGCACACAATAACAAGCCATGTGAAAATAGGCTGTCATAAGTCCTGCCGGAATCTACATTTTCGACAGTTGGCAAAGGGAAAATCCAGGTTTCGGGGTCGGGTGGTTACGTGACGGGGGGGAGGGGGGGGGGGGGGGTGTGTGTGGTGTTCGCTGGTACGCGCTTCAGGGTAAACCTCGATAAGCGGAACGGCAACCGTGAGGCGACAGTGTTCCTTAATCTTAAAACCTGGCACATCAGGGTAAATCAAGGTCCCGAAAAAATTACCCAACAGCATCAGTGTTACTACCAAAAATCACCCTTCTAGTCAGGGCATCAGGGTGATTTACACTGATAACGTGGGCCCTGGCCACGACAGAGGCTCCCGCTGAGTTTGCCCAACACCCCCGCCATGGCCGAAATTAATCTTGCGACATTGACGCAGGAGCAGCTCGACCGTCTCGTGCGTCAACTCGAAGATTCGGCACTCGAAATCGCGACACTCACGGCGGAACGTGACTCCGCCCGCCAGCAATCAACGGTGAATGCACCAGCTCCATCACAAGCACCCGCAAATGGACCTGCGCAATCAGAAGAACCAATCGTCATCTCATCCGGCACACCGACGCAAAACGACAGCGTGGGACAGCGCTCAGGTGCAGCCAGTGATGGCGCCGCTCAATCGATGCCTGGCATGGAGAGAAATCGGGCCGCGCCAAGCCCGCGTGGGCCTCGCGAAGCTCGTCGGCACGTGGAGTTTGCAGCAACAAGTGGCAACCGCGACATCATGGCACCGATGCCACTCAAGCCGCAGCGCCCGCCCTGTTTCGATCCGAGCCAACGTGGAGGTCCGACGGTTCATTCGTGGGTCTTCACGATGAACGTTTTCTTCGACGCGAATTACGTCGAGTCGGACGCAGCGAAGATTCGCTACGCTGTTTCGCTGCTGAGGGGCCTCGCCATGGACTGGTGGCGAGTCATCGTGACGTCGCCACGCGCCTACGAGCCACCGTCGCAAGAGGAAGGGCCCACGGGTCCAGCCGTCACCTGGAGTTCATTCTGCGAAATAGCCCAATACAGCACGTGGGATGCGTGGTGCGCAGGGCTTCGGGCGCGCTTCGAGCCGATCGCGGCTTCTATTTCGGCGCGTCAGAAACTGCGTACTTGGCGGTAGCTCGGGTCGGTTCAAGACTACACGAGTGGTTTTCTCTCACTATGCGAGCAAGTCGGCTACATGCACGAAGCGGAGCGGGTGGACCGTTACGTTGGAGGGCTGAAGCCAGACATCTCGCATGAAATCATGCTACGCGGACTCTCGAATTTCAACGAGATTCTCGCGCTCGCCGAGAAGATCGATATCTTACGCCGTCCGAGACCGGGGTCCTATTACGGACATCGCCCTCGGGCACCGATCGAGCACGCCACTGTACATGCCAATGCGACAAATGCAGCTGCCGCGCCATTTAAGGGGCGCTGCTTTGCTTGCAATAGGCCGGGCCATCGCAAGAGTGAGTGCCCAGAGGAGCTGAGGCGCCGCAGAGCAGAGCAGGGGAGGGAGTCTCCAAGGCAGGGAAACGCCAGCAGTCAGTAGGAATCGGGCCAACTACTGACGAGACTGCCTGCTCGCCCAACCTCACCGACCCTCACCGAGTCACAGTACCGATTCACGCTATCGATCGGGCTCGGATGAATAAGGAGGGTACAGCGACGGATTGCCCAGTACTGATTCACGGGAAAATACAGGGAGCAGCAGTGAAGATCTTTATAGACGGAGGAGCAAGCCACAGCTTAGTTAATACCGCAACCGCACGGAAGCTGCAACTGACACTTAGTCGGTGTTTACCGGAAATAGATGCACGCTTAGTGGACGGAACGCCGCTGGCCATACGGGAGAAGGTGGAGAGAGTAAAGGTCCGCTGCGGGGGGAACTTTGGGTTTACACAGGAAATGCTCGCGACGACATTGGATGGGCACGACATTTTACTAAGACGTGATTGGCTGCGACGGTATAACCCGCGAATCGACTGGACGACGGGTAGCTGCACTGTGCGAAGTAGCGGTAACTGGGTCGTGCTACCTCGCTGGCAGTCGCCCGAGTCTTCAACGGTCCACGTCAACGCCATCACGATGAAACGGGCTGTCGCCGCTGGAGCTGACGTGTACGCAGTGGATATAGCATTGGTAGGAGAAGCAGAGCAGCCGAGCGATTTTCAGAAACTGTTGGCAGCGGTACCGCCCGAACTACAGGAAATGTTGAAACGGTACCCGGGGATTTTTCCGGACGATTTACCAGAAGGACTGCCACCTCAGCGGGCACATGACCACCGCATAGAGTTAGAACCGGGGGCACAGCCAACTGTACAGTGACAATTCCGACTGACACAGCCAGAGCTCGACGAACTGAGTAAGCAGTTAGATTACCTGTTAGAGAAAAAATTCATCCGACCGAGCTCGTCACCGTTCGCCGCACCGATACTGTTCACACCGAAAAAAAGACGGGGGTTTTCGCATGTGTATCGACTACAGAGCACTGAACAGGGTAACAGTCAAGTCGCGATACCCCATTCCCCGCGCCGACGAACTGATAGATCAACCACGAACAGCACGGGTCTTTTCGAAAATTGACTTACGCGGGGGTTACTGTCAGAACATTATAGCTCATGCATATTGTGTAGGCTATAGTGGGGTACTCCATAAGGGGTACAACCCAATTAGGGTTAGCACTTGTACCCAATTCATTCATAGTTCATCCATTCCTCGTTTCTTCTCATGGTATCGAGCAGGTTCCCTAGTGGGAACGATTCCTAGGGCCCACCACCACGAATTTTTTTTTCCTGCCCGGAGCGCGTTTTGCGCCGGCCCGAGTCGCGCCGCCCTCCCGGCCCGTCGCGCCCGTCGCGCCCGTCGCGCCCGTCGCGCCCGTCGCGCCCATCGCCACCTACCTCCGCGGCCCCGCCACCTATCTGTGCGGCCCCGCCACCTACCTTCGCGGCCCCGCCACCTCACTGTGCGGCCCCGCCACCTACCTCCGCGGCCCCGCCACCTACCTGTGCGGCCCCGCCACCTACCTTCGCGGCCCCGCCACCTCACTGTGCGGCCCCGCCACCTCACTGTGCGGCCCCGCCACCTACCTTCGCGGCCCCGCCACCTACCTCCGCGGCCCCGCCACCTACCTGTACGGCCCCGCCACCTACCTGTGTGGCCCCGCCACCTACCTTCGCGGCCCCGCCACCTCACTGTGCGGCCCCGCCACCTACCTCCGCGGCCCCGCCACCTACCTGTGCGGCCCCGCCACCTACCTTCGCGGCCCCGCCACCTCACTGTGCGGCCCCGCCACCTACCTCCGCGGCCCCGCCACTTACCTTTGCGGCCCCGCCGCCTTCTCCCAGCGGCCCCGGACGCCGCCCTCTCAGCGGCCCCGCCGAGCCGCCCAGCAGCCAAGCCGCCCAGCCGCCGAGCCGCCCAGCAGCCGAGCCGCCCAGCAGCCGAGCCGCCCAGCAGCCGAGCCGCCCAGCAGCCGAGCCGCCGAGCCGCCCA